TCTGTACCACTCTGAGACTCTGTCAGCAAGAAGTTCATCACTAGCTGAGCCCCCTAGAAGAGGAGCCTCTTTTCATTAAAGTTTACCCAGTCTGTTTTATTAGGTTATTGGCAATAGAAACTAATAATTACCTAGATATGAATAGTGAGACTATCAGGGGAAATCCTGCACTTTCCAGTATTTTCCAAATCATCATTTCATCCTCTTGCTGAGTCCCATTCCTGATCAATTTCCCCCTCTAGGAGGTTCAGGGCAAGAGAGAAATTGTACCACTGTATGCTCCCTTAAACTCCATTCTTACATGGATTTTAGGTCAAGTTAAAAAAATAAAAGAGCTTCGGAAAGGAAGAAGGTTAGAACTTCATAACTACACAATAGTGCAGCCATCAACAAAATGAAAGAAGGTGTGCACTTTGCCTTGCTAATAGACAAAGGGCAGAGCAGAACGCCAGAGCCTCAGCTTCCTACACTTTTGCTCAGTGGCAGCTGGAATGGGTGAGGAGTGTGTCATACCTTTATTACTCCTGTCACTCTCTTCCCCTCAACCAGAGATGAGCACTTGTATGCTGATGATTGCCACATTTAATTCTCCTGTCCCAAATTAGTTGTAGTCTGAATAAGCATACCCAGCTAACTACCGGACACGCCACCTTCAACCTAGAATGTTTCAGTAGTTCATCCCAGTTCTGCTTAGTGCTAACAGTAAAACTTCAACTTCATAGCTCAGCCCTGTGCATGACCATGTATTTTAGAAGACTTTAGAACTAGTTTATGGGAGGAGTTTGGAAAAGTTTGGAGATTCTGGCTAGACAAGCCCTAGAATTCTATAAGCCAAGGTTGATGAGAGATTGTGGTCAGAGCTCAAAAGACAAATGCAGATAGAAGTGTATGTAGCAAATGTCAGGCTTAGAAGGTTTTAATTTGGAACAAATAATTCATTGGCAGTTGAATTAACAACCATGCGTACTATGTTCTGACAAAAAAAAATTATCTACATTTTGCTCATGTTCTGAGACTTTGGAGCAGACCAAAATTAATGACCCCAGAGAAAATTAATTTGCCAGAGAAAATTTCAGAGCTGCTCATTGTTCAAGCATAGACACTTCTTTATGCTTTAATTATAACAAAAGTCAAGAGCAAATGGTAAGGTTAAATGATATTTAAGGGGTAGAGTTTCATTAGAAAAGAAGTTCCAGTGGATGCTGGGATCCAGCTGAATAGCATAGGAAAGCCAGAGTGGCCCCTCCCATTGTGGCTTCTGGGACCAAGTGTACAGCATGGGAAGATCCAGAGGGAGACCCATAGTGCCTTGGATCCAGGTGAAAAGCACCATGGAAAGGCTTAGAGACTGGCTCTTCCCATTACAGCTGTTGGGATCTAGGTGGACAGTGCAGGAAGGGACAGAGATCAGTGAAACTATCAGCCACACAGTAGTGTGCCAAGCCAGGGTTCACAAGATGGACAGGTGGGACTAGTGGCATGAAATTGTCAGAGGCCGGCAAGCATGTGGGAGAGCTTCTGGCTTCCCTGCACCCGCTGGACCCCTCCAGACCAAAACTCAGGCACCCGCATGACTGAGACCCTCTACCGCACCATCAGGACCCTTGCAACCCTCTAGAGCCCCTGCCCCCATGCCTGCCGAGGGAGTGAGAACTTCTACGACTCTCTAGGGACCCCCAGATCCAGCCCAAGCCCAGATCCAGCTAGTGTGTGGGAGAGCTTCTGCGCTCCCCTGTGCTCCCTGGGGCAGGGACACAACAGAGGAGCACCACAGATTCGCTGTTGTGCCAGAGGGGAACAACAGGTTCACTTCCAAGGGCTGCAGCAGGAAGGAACTGAACACAACAGATAGACCCAGGCCAGGCATAACTGGATAAACTCAAACTTAATAGATCTGCACCCGAATTTCAGTAGAAGCTAAGGTTATAACTGCACCAAAGCTCTACATCAAAGGTCAGAAGTCAGTGCTATACGCAATGATAAAGACAAGGAGCAAAATGCAATCTCAGGCCTTGAGCCCACCCTTAACAAGTGCAGAGGACACTAGCTCAGCTGAAATGAATGAATTAACAACGTTGGAAGTAAAGAAACAACAGCAGAACGTTATAGAGAAACTCAGAGCAGAATTCATTCCTGAAATGAAAAAAGAAATCTCTGAATTCATAGAATATGAAATAAAGAATATAATACAGAAACATGGGAGAAACCCAATGCACACCCAGAACAAGTGCAGAAGACACTAGCTCAGCTGAAATGCATGAATTAATAGCTTCACCAGTAAAGAAACAACAGCAGAAAGGTAGAGAGGAACTCAGAGAAGACTTAATTTCTGAAATAAAAAAGAAATATTTTAATTCATACCATTTGAAGTAAAGAACCAAATGCAGAAACATAGGGAGAAGACAAATCTGAAAAAAAACACTGCAGTAAAAGAATTATAACTGCTTCTAAAGAAGACATTGATAAAAAAAATAGAAGAGATTAGAAATATGATGGAATCCTTGAATGAGCAATATAGGAAGGAAATATATGGCATGAAGCAGAGTCAAAGAGATGTAGAGGAACTTAAAATCTCAATCACAAGCCTTCAAAACTGTTTGAGTGAAATTGAAGACAGAGTTTCAGATCTTGAGGACACTGGTGCAGCTAGTGAAAAGGTAAGAAAGGATCTCTTAAAAACTAGGATGCAGGAAAAAATAATTCATCACCTGCAAGACTATGCAAAGATTAACAGTGTGAGACAGGCATCAATGAGAAGGATGGAGTCAATACAAATGATATGAAAAGAATATGAGCAGAAGTAATAGCAGAAAACTACCCAAATATGAGGAAACAATCTGATGTTCAGGTAACCAAAGCATACAGAATGCCAATTAACTTCAACCCAATTAAAAACACACTGAGACATATAATAGTCAAGATCCCAAAAATACAGCAAAAGAATATACTGAAAGCAGCTAGAGAAAAAAAGTAGATCACTTTCAAAGGAAAATCCATCACAAACTGACTTCTCTTCACAAACCATGAAGGCAAGAAGAGCATGGAGCAGAGTACTTCAAGTCCTCTATGAAAAACAAATTACAGCCCAGACTACTGCACCCTACAAAACTCTCTTTCAAGTTTGATGGAGAAGTGAAATACTTCATGACAAAGAACAACTAAAGAATTTCATAATGACAAAGCCAACCTTACACAGCCTACTGAAAGATGTTCTAGAGAGGGACAAAATGATCAGAACTCCATGAATGAGAACAGAAGGAACCCGCTAAATAGGGCAAACAATTAAACCAGACAAAAAGAAATAAACAATAGCAGGTAAATCACATGTCAATCATAAGTAAACACTTTTCAATTATCACCATCAATATCAATGGACTCAATTCACCAGTTAAGAGAAAAAGACTGGCACAGTGGATTAGGAAACAAAATCCAACAATATGCTGTATACAAGAAACACACTTAACTCAAAAAGACATTCATAGGTTTAAAGTCAAAGGATGCAAAACAATACTACATGCCCCAGCACCACAGAAAAAAGAAGGGGTAGCAATCCTATTTTCAGACAGTCTCAACTTCAAACCAAGAATGATCAAAAGAAATAAAGAAGGCCACTATATACTGGTTAGAGAAAAAAATCAGGAGGAAGAGGTAACACTCATAAATATGTATGCACCAAACACGGGAGCACCAAACTATATAAGACAAATCTTAATGGACATGAAAAATCTAATATCCAAAGCACAATCTTAACAGGAGACCTTAACAACCCCTTATCTCAAAAAGATAGGTCAACCAGACAAAAAATTAGCAAAGAAGTAGCAGAATTGAACCAGACCTTGGAACAAATGGACTTAGTGGACATATGCAGAGTGCTCCACCCAATGCCAGCTGAATACACATTCTTTTCAGCTGCACATGGGTCATTTTCTAAAATAGACCACATACTAGTCCATAGACCATGCTTAAGTATATGCAAGAAAACAGAAATTATCCCATGCATATTATCTGACCACAGTGCAATGAAACTGGAAATAAATGACAAAGAAACTAGAAAAAAAAAAAAACCCTAAATACATAAAATTAAACGACACCCTACTCAGCAACCAATGGGTCACAAATGAAATTAAACAAGAAATTCAACAATATCTATAATTCAATGAAAATTCAACCAAAACTTATCAAAATTTATGGGATACAATGAAATAATTCTCAGAGGAAAATTCATAGCTGTGAACTCACACATTAGGAACACAGAACGGGAACAAATAAATACCCTAATGCTGCACCTTTGACATCTAGAAAAGGAAGAGCAAACCAAACCCAGAGCCCAAAGACGGGAGGAAATCATAAAGATTAGAGCAGAAATTAATTCAATTGAGATGAAGAAAACAGTTCAAAGAATTAATGAAGCAAAAAGCTGGTTCTTTGAAAGACTAAAATAGATAAGGGCCTAGCTAACCTCATCAAAAAGAGGAAAGAAAAAATTGAAATACAAGCAATAAGGAATTAAAAGGGTGTAATTACCACAGACTCAGTAGAAGTTCAGAAGATTATCAATAGCTACTTTGAGAATCTTTACTGTCACAGAATAAAAGACAGAAATGAAATGGACAGATGCCTAGAAAGGTACCAATTAACAAAACTGAATCAAGAAGATATAACAGCTCTCAATAACCCAATAACAGCCAATGAAATACAAAATGTAACAAAAACCCTGCCAACAAAGTCCAGGTCCTGATGGATTCACAGGTGAATTCTACAAGAAATTTATAGAAGATATAATTCCTACACTCCTCAAACTCTTCCATGAAATTGAAAAGGAGGCAGTCCTCCCAAAATCATTCCTCAAGGCAAGTATTATACTGATTCCAAACTAGGGAAAGACAACTAAAAAATAGAACTACCGGCCAATCTCCCTCATGAACATAGATGCCAAAATCCTCAATAAAATCCTAGCAAACAGAATACAGCAAATCATCAAGATCATACACCATGGGCAGGAGAGCGGTGGGGCTGAGAGCGTGACTTGCCTGCTCTGTGCTGCACTTCCGCCACCCGTCGCCAGCCACCGCTGCTGCCACCGAGCAACCCTGTCTGAGGAGAAGCCCAAGGAAGGCGTGAAGACTGAGAATGACCGCATCAACCTAAAGGTGGTGGGGCACGATGGCTCAGTGGTGCAGTTCAAGATCAAGATGCATACTCCATTGAGCAAGCTGATGAAAGCCTACTGTGAGAGGCAGGGCTTATCAATGAGACAGATTAGATTCAGGTTTGATGGGCAACCCATTAATGAAACAGACACTCCAGCACAGCTGGAGATGGAAGACGAGGACACCATTGATGGGTTCCAGCAGCGGACGGAGGTGCAGCCTCCAGAGGGGCCATTCTGTGCCCTGCACTCGCTGTGGAATGGTGAGCGAATGACCAAGCTGATCACAGGAGTATGCAGGAGCCGAGGACAGTCACCAAACAACCGTTCCCTGTCAGGTGCACTTCCAGTGCAACACAAAACTGCCTCTACAGAGACATCGACAGCTTAAATTGGGCCAGATTGGTTTTTGATTAGATGAAGCAAGTTGTGAGGGCGTTTTTTCATTTTGCTTTTTTTCTCCCTCCCCAAGCATTTTTCCCCAAGACTTGTTAGATGTTGGCTCCCTCTGTGGCCAGGTTCTCAGCCCAGAGCTGAGATTGCTCCTGAGCTGCTTGCCATAATCATGTAGGCAGCCTGCATTCTCCAGTGACTGTGGTTGTGGGATAAATGGGCAGGATTTGAGACAAGGGGGCAGAATTTAACTTTTTGTTTAGCCACAGGTTACTACAATGCTAAATATTGCAAATTTAGGCTTTGTCAAGGATGTGGTAAAATTGAAAGGGAAAAACTGGACTGGGTCTTGAAAGGTAAAAAACATGCAGTGAGTCATTCAGTAATGTGGCCTCAGGGCTACTCTGCTCCTGATTGTGTCCTCTGGGGCCTAAAGCTCAGGATGCTATCCCTCTGGTCAGTACCTGGTGAAGGATACAAGGGCAAAGATTGGCACAGCAAAAACTAGTTTTTTCCCTTTTCATAACGTAGAATAAAGTACCACATTTCTCATTTGGTAATTGTATTGTGGCCTCAGACTTCTAGTATTTGTGTCTAATGAATGATTATGGTCTCCTTATTTTAAAAAATTGAGTTTCCTGAAGAAAAAAAAAAAGATCACACACCATGACCAGGTAGGATTCATCTAGGGATGCAAGAATGGTTCAATATTCAAAAATCTATTAATGTAATACACTATATTAATAGAGCAAAATCTAAATCATCTCAGTTGATGTAGAAAAGGCTTTTGACAAAGTCCAACACTCATTCATGTTCAAAGTCCTACAAAAAATTGGAATAGAAGGCCTCTACTTCAATTTGATAAAAGCCTTCTATGACAATCCAACAGCTAATATAATTATAAATGGGGAAAGACTGAAATCTTTTACTCTCAGATCTGGTACAAGACAAGGATGTCCTCTATCACCCCTACTATTCAATATAGTTTTGGAATCATTAGCTAGAGCCATTAGACAAGAGAGAGGAATAAAAGAAATAAAAATAGGTAAAGAAGAAATTAAATTATCATTATTTGCGGATGACACGATACTTTACTTGGAAGACTCAAAAAAATCCACCAAGAAGCTACTAGAATTGATACACAAATTCACTAGCATAGCAGGATACAAAGTCAATACTCAAAATTCAATAGCATTCCTCTACACAGATAACAAACACACTGAGAGGGAAATGAGAGAAACAATACCTTTTACAATAGCACCGCAGAAAATAAAATACTGTGGAATGCACTTAACCATAGAAGTCAAAGACCTTTTCACAGAAAATTATAGTACTCTGAAAAAAGAGATAGTAGAGGATTTCAGAAAATGGAAATATTTTCCCTGCTCCTGATTAGAAAGAACCAACATCATGAAGATGGCCATACTCCCGAAATTTTTGTACAGATTTAATGCAATCCCTATCAAACTACCACCAACATACCTCCCAGACCTAGAGAAATTGTTCCTAAAATTTATTTGGAACCAGAAAAGACCTAGAATAGCAAAGGTAATCCTGGCCAACAAAGACAAGGCAGAAGGCATTACAATTCCCAACTTGAAATTATACTACAAAGCTACTGTGATATAATCAACATTGTATTGGCAATGAAATACACCTGAGGATCAATGGAATAGATTAGAAGATACAGAAGCCTCTAAAAACACATTCAGCCACCTGATCTTCAACAAAGGGGCCAAAATGCTTACTGGAAGAAAGACAGCCTCTTTAACAAATGGTGCTAGAAAAACTGGCTCTCTACATGCCGAAAACTGAAACTTGATCCAGGTCCATCACCATGCATTAAGCTAACATCACAAGGATTAAAGATCTAAACATTAAAACAGAAACACTAAATCTCCTGGAAGAGAAAGTAGGAGGAACTCTTGAAGACATAGGGTTAGGCAAAGAGTTCATGAACAAAAAAAATCAAATTGCACGGTTAATACTTGAAAGAATTGACAACTGGGACCAACTCTTATTGAGAAGTTTTTGCACATCAAAAGAAATTATCAACAAAGTGAAAAGACAACCCACAAATTTCGCAAAAATCTTAGCTAATAAGCACTGGAAGGTCTGTTCTCTAGAATTTATAAAGAACTAAAATACAATAGGACCCCTAAGTTTAAAGATCCAATCCAGAAATGGGCATCCGAGATGAACACACACTTCTCAGAGGATGAAATTAAAGAAGCGAATAAATACATGAAAAAATGCTCCACATCACTAGTTATCCATGAAATGCAAATAAAAACAATACTGAGATACCATCTCACCCCAGAAAGAATGGCTATCATAAACAAATCACCCAACAACAAATGTTGGAGAGGTTGTGGGGAAAAGGGAACCCTTTTCCACTGGTGGTGGGAATGTACACTGGTGCAACCATTATGGAAATCATTGTGGAGAGTCCTTAAGAAACTAAGACTGGAAATCCCATTCAAGCCAGCTATCCCCCTACTGGGAATTTTCCCAGAGAAACTGAAAACATCATATCATAGTGATAAATGTGTACCTATGTTTATAGCAGCACAATTTGTGATAGCCAAATCTTGGAAACAACCAAGATGCCCATCACATGAGGAATGGATGAAAAAGATGTAGTATTTTTA